ATCTTTATTCCCAAAATGGGTTTTGTGAAAAACAATCCCATATTTAGCATTCATATTTGCATGGAAGTCAAAGAATTCCATAATTGTCACTAATGAATGACCATGAAAGCAGGTATGGTACACAAACATATTATCCTCAAAACAAATTCTAATGTGGTCTGATCACAGACCACTGACACAGGTCACAGTTCCTTGTAAACATCTAGGACCTGATTATATTGAGGATCAATATAAGCAAGGTGACATGAATGCTTTTCAGAGCTGTAAAATAAAGAGTGGTTTCCTGGATTTATTTTTTGAACACTAACCAAGGCAATTAACTGAATTCCCAGGAAGTTCTCCAAGATGGATTAAACTACTTGCTGAAGCATCCCAAGAGTGAGCTAACGTATGATCATTTACTTCAAAAGGCTTATGTAGTAACCAAAAAACTGCACTAGACTTTAAGTTAAAAGTACAGGCAAATGAGGTTAGGGACTGACAATGGATTCAAATCTACTCTTTGTACCAGTCAAAACACAACACACAAACTGATATGAAGGATAACAAAGTGGGGATCTTCCTAGACAATACATGTCCTGAAAGAAATGGTGTAAAAGACACTACTCAATATATCCGCACCTACTTTCATTCTTCATCTTATCCATTTACCTCTGACTACCAAAAAAAGAAAAAAAATCTTACGTTTTACTCAAGTAGTACTGCAGACTCAACACAGCTTTAGAAGGAAGAGCTGGAATCTGTTTTGGCACGCATATAAACTTAATCGTTAATTAAGATTTTCCTGTAGCTTTTGTATTACCATTGATGAGACGTGAGCCAGAAACAACTGAGCTTGAATTTTATCTGCCAGTTTCAATGTTCAAGACCTGCCAACTAGAAGAAAGTAAACTCTTTAACTTGTCGACAGCTCATTAAGGAGTAAAGAAAGTGACAGAAACTTTGAACTATATGAAATTAGATACTAAGTAGCAGTTCTGTAAAACTGCATGCAAGTAGGAAATTTGTTTTCATCAGGCATCCACCATCTTTGAATGTGAAGGCTTGGGTTCCAGGCTACTAAACACAATCACTGGAGTCCTGGTTGCTTTGTAAATGAAACAGATAAAGGGTCCCAAAGATGGAAGACACTTGCACTGTGACTGGAATGAATGGCACAGAGGCCTCAAGGTCACTAGCATAATAAAGCATGAACTAGCAGGGAACCACCCTGTTCCGACTGATAGAAGACACCAGAACAGCATCCCTCAATACCATACCACTGCTGTAAATAGCAGCAACAGCAAGGGACTGACAGGCTCAATGCCCTTTTTTACCTCAGTCTTCACAGGCAAAGTCAGCTCCCAGACTACTGCACCAGGCAGCACAGTTTGCAGAGGAGGTGAGCAGCCTTAAGTGTTGAAAGAATGGGTTATGGACTATTTAGAATAAGCTGGATGTATACAACTCCATGGGGCTGGATGGGAGGCACCTGAGGGTGCTGAGGGAGTTAGGTGATGAGATTGCAAAGCCATTGGAAATCATCTTTGAAAACTTATGGCAATCAGGAGAGGTCCTGGATGACTGGAAAAGGGCAAACATAGTGCCCATATTTAACTAAGGGAAGAAAGAAGAACCAGGGAACCACAGACCAGTCAGCCTCACCTCAGTCCCTAGAAAAATCATGGAGCAGATCCTCAAGGAATCCATTTCTAAGAACTTGGAGGAGAAAAAGGAACAGTTGGCAACCTGACTGCTTTCTATGATAAAATGACTGGCTCTGTGGATGCAGGGAGACTGGTGTATGTGGTGTACCTTGGTTTTAGTAAGGCTTTTGATACAGTTTCCCACAACATTCTCGCAGGCAAGCTAAGGAAGTATGGGCTGGATGAATGGACTGTAAGGTGGACAGAACACTGGCAGAAGCATTGGGCTCAAAGGGTAATAATCAATGACTCAATGTCTGGTTGGTAGCTGGTATCAAGTGGAGAGCCCTAGAGGTTGGTCCCAAGGCCAGTTGTGTTTAACGTCTTCATCAACAACCTCGAAGATGGCATAAAGTACACCCTAGCAAGTTTGTAGTTGACACCAAGCAGGGGAGAGCAGCAAATACGCTGGAGGGTAGGGCTAGGATTGAGAGTGACTTAGACAAAGTGGAGAATTGGGCCAAAAGGAATCTCACGAGGTTCAACAAGGACAAGTGCTAAGTCCTGCACTTAGGACAGAACAATCCCATGCACCAGTACAGGGTGGGGGCTGACTGGCTGAGCAACAAAAATGGTCAGGAGGCTGGGGCACGTGACTTGTGAGGAAAAACTGAGGGAACTGAGCTTATTTAGTCTACAGAACAGAAGACTAAGGGAGGATTTAATAACAGCCTGCCACTACCTGAAGACGGCAGGGGTCGAAAAAGAGGATGGAGCTAAACTGTTCTCACTGGTGGCAGATGACAGAACAAGGAGCAACGGTCTCAAGTTGCAGCATGGTAAGTTTATGTCAGATATTAGGAAGAATTCTCTCACTAGGAGGGTAGTAAAACACTGGAACAGTTTAGCCAGAGGTGGTAGAATCACCATCCTTGGATGCTTTCAAAACCTGGCTAGACAAAGCTTTGCCTGGGGTGATGTAGCTGGGGATGGTCCTGCTTTGAGCAGGAGGTCAGACTGACTACATGACCTCCTGAGGTCCTTTCCGACCCTAATTTTCTATGACCGAGTCTCTGGGGCAGGTAAGACTCCCAACCTCACCTAGGACCCCCCTGCCCCATGCTCAGCACCTCCGCCTCTCAGGCAGGATTTTGTCCAGACAGGGTTCTGCTTCATCCTATTTAAGCATAATGATAAAATTATTGTTATTTCTTGCAGTAAGGACAGCCACAATTCTAATATAATAGAGGGTTTGGTCCATCTGTCTGTTTATCTGTAATTCTCTTGGAGCATGCTGACTGCTTACTGAAAAAAACCCTCCCCCCCTGCTCCCTGGAGGTGGCAGAGTGCCACCATGACAGCAGAGATGGAGCGGAGGAGTGAGGCCGCACCACTGGCCTCACCCCCCCCCCCTCCCCACCCAGCAGCAGTGGTGCAGGGTGCTGGCAGAGGGGAATGGAAGGGATGGCGGGGCAAGCTTAAGCCCCTCCCCCCACTCCTGGGAGATGGCAGCGGCCATGGAGGCAGGGGGGATTAAGGATAGGGCTACCAAGCTTCCCCCCACCTCCATCCCCCCAGTCATTGTTGATGGGGAAATTGCTAGTCTGCTAATAAAAGGCAACAGTTGGTGCTAATGGACTATTAGGAGTCAAATATCAAAGTTGTATGGCTCACAAAACTAAGCCAGATCTTCTCAACTATAAGCCAGCTGGCACTGCATCTTGAAAGAAGGATCAAGAGGATCTTCAAGCAATCCCTACAGTTCCTATTTGCATGCCTTGCTATCTTGATATATCACAATACCCAGACTCCTCATTTCCCACACTCCAGAATGCCCATCCTGCCTGCTGCACGTGGTGCCCACTCTGCCTGGTCCAGGGAACACATGCAGCACAGGTCTCAAAGCAGGCACTGCCTGCAACAGTCCCAGACAAGCCAGAGCAGGCACTAGGTCTGGCATGGTGTGGAGAGTGAAGAAAGAAGGTGAGGAGGTTGTCAGGTTGTCAGTGGGTCCAGTCTGGCCTGCAGGGCCAGCCCCGTGCCATTCATCCAGCCCATGGACTGGTCCCAGGCCACCCACTTGGCCCATAGGCCAAAACGACCCAGCACAGGTCAGAGGCAAACAGACACTAAGGCCCATCAACCACCACCACCCCATGGTAGAATATCCAGTCTGCAGGCTATATGTTGCCAACCCCAGCTCTAGACTCACTGCTCCATGATGTAAAATAGGTCCACCTATGTATTAAAATAGAATGCCATCCTTAACCCTAATCCAACTTCCACTCCTCTGCAATAAGTTCCTGATGCAGCTATAGTTCTCTTTTTTTTCTACCCGAGCGTCAGCAATTTCGCCATATGTCCCCCACATACACATTTAAGACAGAATGACTTGATCGACAGAGGATTGATCCATTGAAGTCCAAAAGTTGACCTACCATAAAAGCTACTTAATTAAGTCGTCTTGTAAATTATTGGGAAACAAAAATAACTTAAGAGCTTTATCAGATGCTATTTATCCTTGCAGCTTTTCCAGTATAGCCGAGGTGCCTTAATAAAATATTTTAAAAATAGAATTTTAAAAGATTTTAAAGATTCCAATTTTCCTCCATGTTTTCCTCCCTGTTCCATAACTCCAAAAATAAAGTAGCTATACCCCAAAAACCAGAGGGACATTTAAGTGTCTCTTAAAAAGGTAAATTAATTAATTAATTACATTATGAAATTTACATTGCATCAGTGATTTAGTAAAATCTTATGCTTTAGGTTCACTATCGTGACAAATACAAAAGTATATCAAGTATAAATACTGAATTTCAAAGGAAAATAAATCAGGCAAAAACTGTTCCAAAAATATGTAAATATAAATCACCAATATCAGAGACAGTCCACCTGAGAGACAGCTGCAAACCAGAAAGATAGAGACAAAGAGCACCCATGAAATACATGTTTACTAAAATTTACCATCTTTTAAGCATGCATAAAAAAAATAATTGTTTTGTTTTTTAAGCATCAAGAAAAAGTGGAATAGGCTGACACCCAAGCATCCAGAAAGGAAACACTTTTAATTTATTTTAAGCAACCCATTACCAAGCCACTGAAACAAATAAACAAGACCCACAGTAACTGTAGGCAGGTCACGAAGCTCCTGTCGTCTTGTTTCTGTCCCAAAATGTTCATTTTGGTAATGTTCGGACAGATCAGTAGGTGTTACAAACATTCCCATACAAAGTGGACAGATGAAGCCCTGTGAAACGTACATTTATTTTTTTTTTAAATCTAAACTAACAATGGAAAGAGTAAGAACAGGTAAGGTGTCAAATTGGTAGATTTAAAAATTTTTACAAAGCAAAGAAGGCTGGAGGCTGTATCTTTTTTTTTATGAAGTTTTGTAAGACAATTTCACAGATCATGAGATCATAATAGAAAAGGCAAACAAAAGCATGATTAGAAATGTGAAAATAAACCAATTTATCTTAGACTAAGTTTGAACATGCTGCCATAAGATGGTTAACCGTTTTTAACCAGTTTTGAAAGGTTTTTGGTGCTGCTCTGTAGTACAAAGGGACACTTTACATACAGGCAATCACAATTTATCCATTATGAAGTATCATGTAAAAATCTAACATATTTTATAAGTTTTTCAGAGCTTTCATAAAACAAACAGAAAGGCAAACAGAAATAATTCTATTGTACACAAGTGAACAAACCCAATTCAACATTTGCAGAAAACTGGTGAGAGTTCAAATTGGGTACTGACAGATATGGGGGACAAAAAACCCCAAAACAGTGCTTTACTGGAAGAGAAAGCATATTAGTTTGACCCAGGTCCCCAGCGTCTGTATAGACAGTGTGCTTCAGCAAGGCTGTTTGGTGCTTTTATTTAATAGCTGATTTAATTTAATAGTCTTACATCTCATATTTTCATCTAACACATGGGGCAATAACAAAAGTATTTCTAGATGAGCATATCACATGACAAACTGAAACACTGATTTTATTTTCTCTGTGTAGGGTTTTCAAATCACAGTGTAGTCCACTGGGAAAAATGATGCAGTACTTAAGAAGGTAGACGGGTGCACTTTAGAGTAAGGGTTGGCAAGTTATAGCCCAGGGGCCACATCCAGCCTGCAGGATATGGGACTTCAGTGGCATTCAGCAGTGGATGGCTGTTCCCATGCTGCCATGGGGAAAGGTGCCCATGGCAGCTAGATTCTGGCACCCACCATTCTCTGACATGAACTGGGTCATTCCAGCCTGAAGCCTAAAAAAGTTGCTAAGTACTGCCTGGGTAGATCCAAGAAACTCAGCACCTTCGGCTAAAGTTTACCAGAGGAATAAATTATTTGGACAGGTAGATTTGACATGAGTTCTATCTCCAACAAAAATATGGCAACACAAACAGAGTTGTATCCTCAAGCATGAGCTCTACCTCCAACAAAAAAAGAGGGTTTTGAGCAGGGATTTTAACTCAAAAAATTCCAATTAGTTCAATTAAAATAACCCTCCTTCATCTTTCTGTCCTCTCTAGCCCAGCCCTGCTGTTTATGGAAGGATCATAGTCTCTGAGCAAATACCCAGATCTTCTGCAGGGCCAAACATATTTTCTTACTTCCCAGCACTTTAAAGGGTTCTAGGCTGGAAAACCACCAAACAAACCAGCCTAGATAGAACAGAATAAATAGGGACTCCCAGTTCTACAGAACAGTAGGTGGAAGACAGACATCCTTCAAACAGGTCTGGGTGGCTGCTCACAAAATAGTTACAGAAAAGGTTCTTAGGGCAGTTACATAGCAGAGAGAGGACCACCATACCTTTTAAGATTAAATATTATAAATACTTAAATATCAGAGGTTCAAATAGTGTTAGATATTTCAGTATAAGAGAACAATGCTTTACCTGCAGCAATTAAAATGACCATTGCACTTTGTTGCAGATCCTCAGGGAGCTTCAGTTAGTACCATTTGCCACTTGGTGTGCAACCAATAACCACATTAATCAATTTATGCAAGGTATTTGTAAGACAGCTTAAGATAAGTTTTATGACAGGTACCAAGATAAAGTAATGCACAAACCCTATGCTTGAGGAGGTTTTTCCTGATGAGCCTTTGAAGCAACTGACAAAATAGCAATGCAAACACTACACAACACACTAAAATTTCTTTGTATACTGCAATATGCAGGTCATTTGGGATGCCAAGTGTAAAAATTACTGATGTGCAATTCTTATATATTGGCACATATTCTTGCTCATACTTCACTGCATACAAGCTGAACATGAAACGAACATGTACAGAATCAGCACAAAGAAATCTTCTCTTAACCCACACACATGTATTTGCCAACGTACACAAGGATCATTTAGTTAAGGTCCCCAAATCATCTCCCTAAAGCTTCAACAAAATGAGGTTGATCAGATCCCAAGTTTGAGATTCTATTCCCATGTACCACTATCCTATAGTACCTCTGACGAGCTTTCATTGTTCACATCCACTGCATTTCCAGGTGTTGCAGAGGAATCCAAATCTGAGCTCTGGGATCCAACTCTGCCTGGAGTCTGAAAAAGAAAAGATTTAAAAAATATATTAAATCCTCTCTCAAGTCTGCTATACATTAGAACTACCCATTTGCACAAGAATTTTACATAAGTTTCATCAATCCACTGAACAATTTCACAAGCAATCCATAAATTGTCAATGCAGTAACATTCCATAAAAACTTATTGCTAAATTCTCAAAACATCATGAGTGATGACTATTAATAAACCCCTATTTAATTTCACTTTCAGCAATTTAGCACAAAAAGAATTAAGCCAAGCTGTGCTTGTTTTTTAAAATCACAGTTAAATAACCATACTTACTCAAATGTAAGAGAACCCCAGATATAACATGACCCCCCAATAACTAGATTCTGTACATGGAAAAAATGATAAATTTAATTTTCCAGGGATAGAAACTAATTATTGAAGGTTTACCTTGAATTTGTCCCCCTCCCGCTGCTAGAGCAGCGAAAATAAATTGGGGGGTTTTGTACACACACACAGAAGTGCTGCTTAAAGTGGGGGAGGGGTGTTGGTACAAACTGCATGCTATTAGTGCTAAATCAAAAGGCTCATGATTTACCACATAGTTCATTGGGCTGGGTGCCAGCAGAGTCAACAACACTACAAGCAACGTGACCCCATAGATTACCACTGCTCATAGATGTTAGGGTCGGAAGGGACCTCAACAAATCATTGAGTCCAACCCCCTGCCTAGGCAGGAAAGTGCACTGGGGTCAGATGACCCTAGGCAGGTGCCTATCCTTCAAATAAAGAGAACTGAATTTGCAATCTGTATTCTCTTCCTGGATTTTATAGCTATATATTCAGCTATGAAATCATAATTTCATTAGGAAGAGAGAAAAGATTAAGTGAAGCCAAAACACGTGGGAAGAGGAGGAGGGGAAAGTCTTGGCACAAATAAGAACATTTAATTTCAGCACCCATTAATGAAAGTAACTCATCACAGAATGGAATCACCAACGGCTTGCCTGACCAAGACACGCTTGCTCCCGGAGGCCCCAGAGACAGAACCCAATCTACGTCTCCTTGGATGCTGCTCACAGGGGCAGGACAAAGGAAAACAACAGACTGATTTTTTTTTTTTTTTTTTAATTAGGCACTTCCAAGGTCAAGGGCTTTGCTCTTCTTTCCCTGGTTTCCACAGTAAATTTTACAAACAAAACTTAAGGCTAAAGTTTCCAAATGCTACCTTGAAAGCCTGGTACAAAATACAGCTCCCCAAGATTGTGTACAAACAGCTGCGGAGCGACCTGCGCATTCCAGATAGACAGACATAGTGGTATCAATTTCAAATGATACCAAGATAAACCGTTAGGATGTAAATTATGTCTTCAAACTCTTGTAGTGATACAAGTGTAGCAAAACCAATCCTGTTTCATTCATGGTTAAAATCAGCTAAATTGCTGTAACTTGTACCAAGACAAAAGCAGGCAGATCAGAACACCTGACATGTCCCCCTAAGCAGTTCAGCCTTCCATTTTAAAAGCAGCTAGAAGATAGCCGCTTTTGTCCGTAACCCCAGTTTAATCCTACCAAGGTGGGAACATACAGATTTTAAAAATCAAGAAGCAGTTCTTATAACTGTGTAGAGATCAATACCCTTTTTTCAGTCGCATAGTTTGCCCTTTTGATTTATTCATATAATCCATATAATTCATACAATCTTCAACCAAAAAAGCTAAAAGCAAGTCAACCTATATTTATACTTCATACTAATCAAAATGCGTTACATCAAATACATATTATTTAGTTTTTCTGAAATAGTTAAAAACAGTCCTCTTAAAAGAAGCTGCACACACACAAACTCTTTCAGCACACTATTATAAAATAATGCCAAAAGGAAGTCAGAACAAGCTTCAACCAAAACTAAATATTCCTCAGTAACGTAGATGTGAAGCAAATGGAAAACAGTAAGTTAGAAATAGCATTTTTCAAACATATCCAGACATGCAAATATGCTCATTAAGTTTAGTATGCAACTACCTTGAATTATTTTTAGGTGAGCAAGAATATATCAATGGTAAGAGCCCAGACCATTTATGGCAGTATTTAGGGATGTTTTAAGAGATTTATATAAAACTAACGAGACAAATGTGGGGGTCAAGCAGTTTCCTGAACATGTGAATGACTTAAGCCTATACTGAAGTGCTTTCATGATTCTGCCCCAAAATCTTAAAATGGGAGGTCATTAGGTCAAGCTTAATAAAAAGGTATGTATGTCTACATTATACCAGATATACCTATAGGTATGGTAAACATTATTAAACTTTACACACTTATAGAAGCCCAAGCAATGAATCATTCCCATCTATACTATTCAGAGAATCTCTAATCAGTGATGTTTACTGAAATTAACTGCAGATGTATTATATTTATTTTAATAAAATGCATGAAAGCCAGGGTGGTGCATGTTGGTCAATATGAAGAACAAGAGTTGGGGATCAATGAAAGAACTCAGCTCTCAATACAATTTTGACAAAAATCACAGCCTTTCCATGAATGAGTTTTCTATGCCAGTAAAACAAGAATGATTTTTCTCCTTCGCGTTATCTTGACTGATGCAGGTGCTATAGAAGGCAAGAGAAAGCATATTTTGCTCAGTGTGTATAGATAGCCTCACCTCACAAAGGATCCATCTGTTAATTAGCACCCCCCAACTCGTGACTGGAACCAGGTGTTCTTGTCACAAATCCTGGAATCCCCAAAAATTTATATGCAGATGAGGTGCAAGGCAACTTGGTCCAGCTGCACCTAATGCAGGGTGAGGTCACAATGATCATATGCGACATGCTGAGAGAGGGGGAGACAGAGGGATTCCAGGTGAACAGTTTGGAGGCCTGTTTCATGATATTTACCAGACATTTAAGATTGGTGAAGATACAGTAATCATTGGAAATGGAAAAGAAAGGCACAGCTCAGTTAAAATGTATGCAGTGTAGCAGCTCACCATGACTTTAAAAAGAGCTTGCACTGAGGAAGAGAATGGGCACTCCATGCAATGGAATGGGCACTACCATCTTTCATATTCAGGTAGGCTGCACCAACCTATCCTTGTGGTACCAAGCATGGTGCAGATCAAGTGTAGAGGACATCTGAATCCCAGAACCTCCAGCCTTGGGTCTGAACGTAGGATGCCTCCCAATGGATTTTGGAGTATATGAAGTCCCAGCATGAGAGTCTGAGATGGAGGGAGCTTGCTGGTTGTAGCGCTATACATGCTATTTAAAACTATTGAGTTCTGCCTGCTCAATCAGTATGGTTTTTGGAACGATTGAATTCTGCTCAATTGGTATGATTTGGAGCCAATTTGGCTAATTTGACCTGGACATGATTTTTGTTTTCTTTTTCTTTTTTTTTTTAAGCAAGAATTTTAGGCACCAAGGGGAGGGTATCAGGGCTGACAATATGGGCCAGGTGTTTTATAGTCAAGTTGAGCGTTGGCTGCATCAGTGGCAATGCATAGGGGGTGCACAGGGGCACACATGCACCCCCCTGACAGACTGCACTCCCCACTTTGGCGACGGGCAGGGGAGGCAGGCGGGAGCACCAGTTCCTGCCCTGTGAGCACTGGCCAGGGAGTGACAGCACTAGATGAAGGGCCATGGCCACTTTCAGGACTGCCATGGCCACTTCCCAGTAGGTGCCACTGGTAGCACCAGTTGCCCATGGGCTGCATTTAATCAACTGAAGTTGATTACTGAGCACATGCTGCTTTTGGCAGCAGTTTAACAATAGACAATGTAGTTAATGAGATTAATAAGGTTTCCTTGAATGCCATAATAATATAAGGGGCTTTTTTCCCCTATGCATATGGGGGGGGGGACAGGGGACACCTCATCTTGTATTTAAGTAAATACAGTAATTTAAGGTATTCAACAAGAAAAGCCCAGAAACTAAAGTTGAGATTAACAAGACAGTAAAATGAAAATTATTAAACTGTCTTCAGACTATACATTTGATAGCTTTCCTCAAAACAAGGTGTTAAAATGCCTCTCATTTGGTGGATCATTTTGTAAAAAAAGCCAACAAAATCCCCCAACATGATGAAATACAAATGAACACTGTCCTGGGGAAAATATAAGAAATGGACCCCAAAGGGTCAAGGAGGGACCCTGGGGGACAGCACACCCCAGGAGAAACACAACAAAAGGAAAAACAAACAAAAACGCCCTACCTGCTACAGGAACCGTGGCTGGACCGGAAGTGGCGGCGGGACCTGCGCAGCTTGTTAGCCGCGTTTTTTTTAAGTGCAGCCAGCTGGAGAGAGGAGGGAGGAGAGCCGGCACAGAGAGCTAAGAAGGACGACCAGTGAGGCAGAAGGGGAGGAGAGGCTGAGAAGGAGCACAGGGGAAGTATCCCCAGGACCCTTCGTGGAGGAGGGAGTGTGCAAGAACGCTTCTCACAGGGCAGGAGATTGCCCTGGGAAGCTTCAAGACCGAGGAAGAAGGAGGTGGCCAGGCTGCATATTCCCATAAAGCCATGGGAAGAGGCTAGAGGGATCCCCACAAGCAGAGCCTGGCTCTTGGGATCCATCCGAGCGAGACGTGAACGGCCAAGGTACCGAGACTGATAAGAACAGGATTGAAGACCCGAGAGAGTCCGTCAGAGGAAAGTCATTACTCTGAGTCGGAGGGGACATTGAAGGTTGGTCTAATATATTTCACACTAGGGGAGAAGGAATAGGGGAAGGAGGTGGCACCGAGGGAGTAGTCAGTGGTGGGACTGCACGATTTGGGGCATGCAATAACTAAGCTGCCCGAGAGTAGTAATTAGAGGATCTTGGGAGCTATAGGTAGCTTTTGTTATTAGTTTCCTTTTTTTTGTCTCTGTTGCTTGTTTCGCTTTTATAAAGGCAAGGCAGAGGACAACGCAGAGCCTAGGACCCTCCTGGTGGTTAGGAAGGTCCTGCAGGGTATAGGACATAGGTGGGCAGGTAAGTCCATAACGTATAGCTTACGGCTTGAGCGAGACCCGGGATAGGATCCCATAGAGGGAGGGCAGGCCGCAAAAGGAACATCGGCACTCTGTTGTGGCTGGGTTTAGGGCGAGGTATAGGGGAGGCTGGAGCCTCGTGAAGATCACCGCCCTTAGGCCTGGGATAGTCTAACCCCGGTGGTCAGACCCCACCACTGAGAGGGTCATCAAAGTCATGGCAAGCGGGATTGGGGGTAAGACTGCCCGGGGTGAGACGTCGATGCCCTGAGACCATAGGGACGGAGCGGAGAACCACCATCCATATCCAGAGCCAAGCGGCGAGGGACCGGATGATCGAAGCCCGACGGGTGCAAACACCAACAAATTATTTTTTGTAATTTGGAAGGCAAAGTCTGCTTTGTATATCAAGGCCGCTGATAGACATTGAAAAACCCCCACAAAAAACAGCGTTTTACCAGAAGAGGACATACACCTCAGCATTTGTATAGATTGCGCGCTTCAGCAGGCTTTTTGGCACTTATCTAAAGCTGATTTAATCAGCTACTAGATAAAAGCGCCAAAAAGGCCTGCTAAAGCGCCCAATCTATACAGAAGTTGGGTGAGCCAGGTCAAACCAACGCAATGCCTCTTCTGGACATGCACTGCACTTGGTGCGGGGGCGCACCGAGCTGAAAGTAAAGCGCTGTTTTAGTTTTTTCTTCACATCTGTAAGCAGCCCAAGTTTCCAATTAATGTTAGACAAGGTTATTCAAGAAGAAAGCCTACAAAATGAATCCCCTATTGGAAGCAAAATGTAAATATGCTATTTACAGATTACAAATTCAAAACTGTAAGCAAATTAAGTACATTTTAATTCATTTGGAATCTAACAGATAAATCCCAGTTATTAACCTCATTGCATTCAGCCAACTTTTCATCAAGAAATTCATTTGTGCTTTTCTTATCCATTTCAAAAGTTCTAATGTTTAATCAGAGTAAAAAATATTCAATATTTATGCTGCTTCCTTCCCCCAACAAGACATCTTCTACCAAGCAAATAACACCCACCCACTTACTCCTCCTGGAGCTCAGACAAACACTTTGGGGACATTTAAATGACTTCCATCAGACACCTGCTATTCAGCTTTATAAGTAGGAGAAATCTAGGAAAGAAGTATAGACATGGTCATAGGAATACTCTTGAAAGGGTGAATTAAAGAATCAGTAAGGAAGTTACTGAATTAATAAGTCCCAAAGTATTCTTTTAGCACAGTTTCTCTACCCTTAGATGCACCCTGATATTTCTGGGAAATTTTCACACACAGATTTATTTCCTCTCATGCAAGTCTTGACTTTTGATCTCTAAACCAATTGCTATTAACATGCATACAAATCAAAGTTACCTATACAAATCTAATCAGGGAGTTAAAATGCCATATATCTATAGGCAAGCTAGAGGGTTTTGTTTTATACGGAGGATTCAAGTTATCCATGTTTTAAATACATACACAGAGATCCATGAATTTAGATCAAGCATAATTTTAACATAATTTTTGTAAATTTTTTTTTTAACAGATCACTAATACTCTCTTAAAGATGTCTCCAATTGTGATCTTTTTCCTCTAATTGAGAGAGAGAGACTTTAAGGTACCACTGTGCCCCTATTTCTTTCCTAATTTTAGAATTGTAGTATATTTCAAATCTTGCATCTGCCAAGGCTAAACATGAGTCCAATCGATCATTTAAGGACCAAAGTGGTGCTTATACAAAGGACATTCTAAGGAAGTATTTGAAGATTCAGTTATACAAGGTAAACAGAGGTAAGGGAACCTCAGATTATCAGAGGTAGATAATAACAACCATGCCAAGAGCCAGGAAAGGAGAGTATTTTTCTTGTTACAATCTCCCTTTCAGTTATCACTGAAATAGTTGCTAAAACAAACTCCTCCATGTCTGTGTCCTCTTTGTTACATTATCTGCTAGTTTTGTCTCCTGCTTCTAAGCAGAGAGCACACAATAGTCTCCTTCTAGCTCAGCAATTAAGAGGGCAAAAATCTCCCCCCACATGGCCAGGAAAAAGTTTGATGTGTACGCAGCATGCTTAGCTGAATGAGGGGAGCCAGGCTGCCCAGCACCTTCCCCCTCGCCATACTACCATGCACACAGCACTGGGCAGCCTAGCTCCCCCACTCTCCCCTCTCCCAGTTGCACAAGCCATACACACAACCACCACCTCCTGACTGACCCCATGGACGAAGCTAGGCTACCTGCACTAGTTGGTGCTGCCCAAGTGGCATGTGGGGCTGGAGGCAGAAAGAAAACAGCTGGGCAGCCTATGGGGTACATTCAGCTGGGGGAGGGGGAACTAAGCTGCCTGTGCTGTGCTGTGCTGTGGGAAGGGGGCCTTAAGCACTCTGTGAGGATCCAGGAGTTGGGGGGAGCTGTGACCTGTCCTGGCTGCCCAGAAATTGGGCAGCCCTGATCTATTGCTTTCTTACCAAATATAAAAGTTAGGTAATGTCTTGAAGTTGTCACAGCAAGAAGGAGGTCATGGCACTTGTTCAGAAAGATGAGATCAGTAACTTGATGAACAAGATTGGGAAGGCACTGCATTCTAGTGAACAGGATGAAAA